AAAATGTAATCTGTTTTTAATTTGTTCTGAGACATATAAATTTATTTAGATATGCACATATGTTTTGCGGTGTCATTCATGCACTGACAAAACTAAAATGTTGCACATAATTCAGTTTTCTTGAAAAAGAGCTAAACAGCATGTTAACATTTCATATTTAATCAATTGACAACCATACATTTAACAAAGTGTTAATTATGTTTTTTATATCTGTAAATGCAGATTGTTAGATATGTTATGTGGTTTCAATTAGTTGGACAGAGACTGGAAACAACCTTAGCTGGCTTTGTTATGGTCCGCTGTGTGGCTAAGCAAAGCAGAAGGAAAATGTGAAATGCGTGAGAGAAATGAGTGTTTGTGTGTTTTTGTGTGCATCTGAATGCGTGCTTCCCAGTAGCACCTCCGGGACTGCAGCAGCAGCGGCAACATTAGGCCTGCTTGAGTCACACAAATCTTTATTGTTCCTGAAAGTACAACAGATGAAAAAGCCTGTTTATGACAGCGCATGATGGCGAGAGAGGACGGACAGTTTTTTTTTTTTTTTTAGGGGTCTGTGTTATTATTCTGCAGTGGGACCGTTCTTGTTGTGTGTTCCTGAGTGTGTGTGTTGGTCTGTTTGTTTTGAGACCTCACTGTCCGGGGTTGAGCGTGCTCTGTACGGGAGCTGGAGTGTGCGTGTGGCCGCCGGGTCGCCGCGCTCTGGCCCGTTCCCACAGCTTCATCCCTCTGGAATGCCTGGCAATCGCGCTGTCTGCCTAACGAGCTTTTATAAAAGACATGTTAATTTGTTTTGTCTTAATCTAATCCCTCTACTGTCTCATTCACCCTCTGTTCTCCAAGTTTCTCTCGCTGACACACACTCTTTGCTCTCTCTCGCTCTCTCTCTCTCTCTCTCTCTCTCTCTCTCTCTCTCTCTCTCAGTTAATCTGATTGGTCAGGAACATGAAAAAAAAAGTAAATTGAATTTTGGTGTTCTGCGTCTAAAGGGAGAATGAGGGAATTTTGTAGAGTGGTCAGCCTACACTTGTTTTTGATGAAAGTACTACTTGTTCTCTAGTTGTAGAGTTGTAGTTTTATTGTGAAAACAAGTCTGTTTTCTTCAGGGAGAGATTTCACTCTGTAAGCACATATTTACATTTATTTGTCATAGTGAATGTAATTTTTTTTTTGTTTTGTTTAAAATGTATCTGTGTTGCATGTAAAATGTTTCAAATTCATCTGTGATGCCAATCAGTGTTATTTTAGTATTATTTATATGCAATTACATTATTTTTTTAATATTTTGAATTAGCTTTTATATACATTTCCCATTCTCTCTCTCTCTCTCTCTCTCTCTCTCTCTCTCTCTCAGTTAATCTGATTGGTCAGGAACATGAAAAAAAAAGTAAATTGAATTTTGGTGTTCTGCGTCTAAAGGGAGAATGAGGGAATTTTGTAGAGTGGTCAGCCTACACTTGTTTTTGATGAAAGTACTACTTGTTCTCTAGTTGTAGAGTTGTAGTTTTATTGTGAAAACAAGTCTGTTTTCTTCAGGGAGAGATTTCACTCTGTAAGCACATATTTACATTTATTTGTCATAGTGAATGTAATTTTTTTTTGTTTTGTTTAAAATGTATCTGTGTTGCATGTAAAATGTTTCAAATTCATCTGTGATGCCAATCAGTGTTATTTTAGTATTATTTATATGCAATTACATTATTTTTTTAATATTTTGAATTCGCTTTTATATACATTTCCCATTTTAATTTTAGTTCAGTTTTAGTAATTTTGTTATGGGCTTTCATGATTTTTTTTTAATGATTATTTAAAAAAAAATTATTTAGCTTTATTTTTTATTTTAGTTATAGTACTTCAACTTATTTGTTTCAGGATAACACTTTACAATAAGGTTTAATTTTAATATTAGTTAAAGTGATAGTTCACCCAAAAAAACAAAAACAAATAAAAAATTTAATAATTTACTCACTGTCATATTCCCACAGTTCCTGGTACTACTTCCACAGTATTTCAATTTTTCCTTTCTCTTTGGAGTATTACAAACTGCTTGTGCATATATAAGATCCGTAAAGTTGCACAAACTATAGTCTCAAACCCAAAGAGATATTCTTTATAAAAGTTAAGACTCGTTCACGCCTTCCTAAAACGCCTCATTTAAACACGCCCCCACATGTCTATGTCATTGTGTTGGACGATTTGCATTACACCGCCCAAATGTTTACGCAAAGAAAGAAATCATAACTTTTATTCTTGTTGTAGTATTGTAGTCGTAGAGTCGCCATGTCATGGAGATGCTGTGTGTTTCCAAATATGATAAGGGGCATAACATTTCTGTCACACGCTTGAGATATTCGGCCAATCACAACGCACTGGATAGCTGGTCAATTAGAGCACACTGCGCTTTTCGGAACGATGAGCTTTTTAAAAATTGTCGCGTTTCAGATAGGCGGGGGAAAGAGAGGAGCAACAATAATGTGCGGTATGTGGAAAATAATGTGTTTTTTTTTTTTTTTACCTTAAACCGCGTAAACATATTGCATTACACCAAGTACACAAATTAATGTTATGTTTAGCATCGTCATATGACTCCTTTAAGTTCTTAATGCAATATTTATATTTAATTTTAGTGTTATTTCCATTACCAAAAATGATTTTTAATTGTTTTTATTTTCCTTTTAAATAACAATTGTAACACTGGAACCAATGATCTATGGTGGTGGGCGGGGCTACTCACAGACTGCAAAAATAAAAACTAGACTGTCAGCAAAATGTCTTGATGCCTGTCAGTTTCAGCTGATTAGGACAAAACAACTCAGATCATCAGGGTAGAAATTTAATTTATTGCCGTTTTATTATGGCGTATCTATAGTTGAGACAGTGTTTGCTTTTCTATGCTAGTTCAACAATGTGCTTCCTCTATTTTACAGTATCATTGTAATTGTTGGCTTCATCCCATTTAGGTCATCAAAACAGTGTCTTTATTGAGCATACAGGCTTTTAACTTATTGTGTTGCCCTTTTTTCCTCACATTTTCATCTTCCTTTTATTTTCAGTTGCACATTCATAGTACATAGACAGCTGGCTTTGTCCCCCGGGGGTTGATGCCCTGAAAAATGACTGTCTGATGTGTGAAGTTTACGATAGGATTCTCACCCACAGCGTCTGATCGCTGCATTTACCCCTCGCTGAGATGGTGGACATGGCTGTTCGGCTCTGTGTGTTGACAATGGGAAGCAACAGTTGTGAAAAGGTTGTGTTTGTGTTAGCCGAGCGCTGAGAGATTGATTTTGGTGTTTGTGTGTTGGAAAGCTGTGAGATGACTGACAGGACTTTATCTCCCAAGTCACACTTCCACAGTTCTGTGCCACAGCACAATATTTGAGCAGGAGAAATATCACACATTCCCCTCTTGAACGTTTGATAAGCACGTCATTTTGCTGTGTCTGGAAAAGCAGAGATGTTTATTGAGCTTTGGACAAGTAGAATGGTATTAAAGGGATAGTTCACCCAAAAATGAACATTGGGGAAAAAGATGCAGAAGACCCCTGGTGCAGTAAAAAAAAAAAAAAAAACACTACACACGACAAAATACAAGGTAAATCTTAATATTATAGAATTTAAAGTAAAATTTCTGACGTTTACTCATCCTCATCTCTTTTTCAACGTATTTTCTTCTGTAGAACACAAAAGGGGATGTCTAAGCTGCTCTTTTGCAATAAAATGAATGTGAATGGGGACCACAATTGTCACATTAGATATTAAGTAAAAACAGCTTACATTTCGGTCCATTCCTCTCACAATGCTATCATAGGGCTTCAAACCAAAACAAAAAAAAAAAATCAAAATATAGAACTTTTATGATACTCTTATTGTGCTTTTTGGAGTTAGCATTCACTTTACATTTTATCTCCATTCACTTCCATGATAGTGAAAAGAACAGCTTGAACATTATAGCTAAATATCTCATTCTGTGTTATACGGAAGAAAATACGTCATACAGGCCTGAAATTACATGAGGTTGTGCAAATGTTAGAATTTTTTGTTTAAATTATAAAATAAAAAATAAAAAAATTATAACATTTAACTCATATTTTGTATTTTTTGTGGAGTTTTTTTTTTTACTGCATCAGAGGCTCTTTTTCTTAAATGACTATATCGTTCTGAATCTTCTCTGTATGTGTGTGATTATGTGATTCTGGCTAGATTTGAAGTGGCTTGTAACAAAGGGCTGTTGATTATCTGTGACAGTATTGAGTGTTTCTGTCTGCTTTAGCTCAGTTGTCATCACCTTGTTGTTTCTGATAAGTGCAGATGACAGAGCCGTAGCCTGGGATACCAGACCGAAGTCTGCCTCCTCCTCAAGTGGCTACAATCCGGACATATCAACAGCCTGATATACTGGGCTTCTGGATTTTTATCCATCACATGATGTATAGGTCAGATCGATAGTGACTCTTTGTTCTGGATGGGTGTGAGTGGGCCGGGGTTTGGAGATTGTGTGTTATCTTGCGCATACGACTGTAAGTCTATAAATGTGTATGTTGGGAAATAGTATTGGTGCGTAGGAGACTGTGTGCGGATGTAAGGGGGTGGTGGGGCCTAGTCTTTGAAGATCTGGGTTGTAAGCAAAAGATTGCAGGTTCAAATGTCACAAGGGATAGATAGAGCTTCACTAATTGGAACTAAACACAAGGATCTTTTGACATGTTTTTAAAAGTTGAGCTATTTTATTACACTCTTAAAAAACATATATCATATATGTTTGCTGTATCTGAAACTAAGTAAGCCAACCCCCACCCATGTTATTTATCTGTGTAGAGCTAGTAAAAGACTGGATGATATAATTATTGTGATTATTTATTGTTAATTAAATTGAATTTGCTTTTGGAATCTTGAACCTACAACCTTTTGGTTACCAGCCCAGATCTTTAGCCACTATGCCACAGCAACACATTTTTTCATTAATTTAATATTTGAGCTAAGTGGATTGTGTGTTTTTGCAGCAGTATGGACCGTATCCAGCAGCTGAGGAGGGAGTATCTTCAGGCTCGTAGAGAGGGAGCAGCTCCAGCCTATGAGGAACTGGAGGCCCGACGGAGAGGACCAGAGTACGACCAGCACAGAGTAAGATATCAAACCCACACACCTCACCCAATAAAACACTCTCACCATCATGTAGGTTCCCAAATTAACGACTGCCAAGCATTAGCGCAAGTCTAAAGTTGATTTTGGAAAGTTGATTTTGCACCCTGCGTTCACACCATTTTTACCTTTCCCTTAATCAGAGTGAATAATTGCCTCAGTATCTCTCTATACTGCCTCAATTCAGCAATACAGACTTTAACATTCTTAATCAAGAGTCATAGAAACTTCCACCAAATGCATCAACACCTTTCTTTATTAGGATTGGGACAAACCAGCATAATTTGTTTTCTCTTTGAACACACAGTAATTCCCTTTGTGTGAGATCAATAGTTGTACCTCTCAAATTCAAATGAGCTAGCGTCTGTTTTTGTAAGAGCTGCGGTGAACAATGAAGCATCGCAGGCTGTGGGATTAGAGAGGCAGATCGAATTAAACTAACTCCAAACAGCAATCACCCAATCTAACGAGCCTGCTCATTAAGGTCGACACTGCATTTATTCATTTGCTCGTCTGTGCTTATTTATCTATTTATTCAGTGCTAATTATTCAGCTACTGAAGGAAACAAACACTCGCTACGTCAAAGCAAAACAAAGTTATCAGCCGCCGTTTTTGCATAAGAGGAAACGTGTGAGCAGTTTTCACACGGTGAAATGGTTTGGAACTACCTACAGGCCTGATGATTGCGTTGTGGAAATGATGACGATTGCCTGAAGGCAACATGAGAGAATTCACCATATCCTGTGGCTTAATACACGTGCGCACACACACACACACACACAATCTTGGAGAGACATTCACAGAAGTTTCCACACCCTTTTCTGTGACTGTGATGTAGTCTACAATACGGATATAAATAATACTCCTCATGACAGACACGTTATGACTGCCTATTGTTACAGCTGCCTCTCGTCTGCTTTCAGATTTAGCCCTTTTATGGACATATCTGTACATATCTCACTCTATATCAACCTGCAAGGATGTTCCTGGTAAACACAGAGAAATGGAAAAAGATTCGGATTGGGATTTGTTTTGTTGGGCTGTTTCAGAACCAGAACCGTTCAGCTATTGCCACACAAGCTAATCGGTTTACACACAATCCTGATTTCCAGTAAATGTTTTAGCTTTTCTCTGCCAGAGGAGCCTACCACTGATGTCATAACCATTTATTTTTTCTTTTGTATTTATGCGAAGCGTCGCAGTGTTTACTGGTTCATCACTGCTCTGTGTAAGTGTGTTATAGGACTGCAGTAGGGTTGATATAGAGTGTGTATAGACATTGATTGATGACCGCTCGACCACTCCATGAATTTCTGTGCTGGCTCAGTGACTGCATTGCTCAGGCATGACTGTGGTGTAGTCTCAGTGACTGCAAGTTCACTTGTGAGGACTTCTGACGTCCAGATGAAATTAAGGCTTGGCATTTGTGACAAAAAAATGGGTCTGTTCCAAAACCCAGTGAGCTGCCTCGCTGTCTACTGCCTAAGAACTTGTCTTCTAAGGAAGCATCCTATCAGACATAGAAGAGTTTGATGTTAGCATGTTGATAATACTCTGGTAAGCATAAACAAAACATAGCACATTCAAAAATAGTTCTTTTTAATTTGACTAACTGTTTGCTTTTCATTATTTAGTTAAATGTATGTATTTCTTAAATCTTATTTTGGCCACCATCTCATTTTTTTTAACTCCACTGAGCTTGGCACAGTGCATTCTGGGATTGCTTTCTTCACAAAGGATGCACTTATTTACCTTTATTTAATGAGAAAATTAAACTGAACAGTATGGAGAATGATTACAAATAATACAAAATTTAACATAATAGATTAAATGGGAAAGTAATTTTTTAAAAATGATGAAATAATACACTACCGTTTAAGAGTTTGGGATCAGTAAGATATTCTTTTAATTAATGCTTTTATTCAGCAAGGTCGCATTAAATTAATCGAAAGTGACAGAAAATACATTTGTAGTGTTACAAAAGATTTCTATTTCAAATAAATGCTGCTCTTTTGAATCCTGAACAAAAAAATAAGTATCATGGTTTCCATAATAATAAGCAGCACAACCATTTTCAACATTGATAATAATAAGAAATGTTTCTTGACCACAAAATCATGATATTAGAATGATTACTGAAGCATCATGTGACACTAAATATTGTAGTAATGGCTACTGAAAATTCAGCTTTGCATCTTAGGAATAAATTACATTTAAAGTGTAAAAACAGTTATTTTACATTGTAAATAGGGTTTCAAAGAGGCGGAAATTTCTAGGTACATTTTGGAAACATTCCAGAAATTTTGGGAATTTCTAGGATTTTTTGGAAACTTTCATAAACCTTCAGAAATTTTTGGAAAGTTTCCATAAATTTACCAAAAATTGTCCACCCCCTTGCAACCCTAATCATATTAGTATTTTACAATATTACTGTTTTATCAAATAAATTCAGCCTTGAGCATAAGAAACTTAACAAGTGTAAATTAGATTAAAGGCTAGCTGAGATGAAATAACAAGAAAGATGCTGCCTTAGAATCTAGCCAGACAAAGTATCTTAGTAGGCGGTATAATTATGCTGCCTCTTCATGTTGGGAGTGTGACTTTAATGCCTTAAAATGAAGCCCTAAAATACTGCTTACGTAGGCAGCTCACTAGGTTTTGGAACAGAACAAATGCGTGTCCTCCAGAAGGTACCTGTACCCACGATCCTGTGCCATCTTGGAATCATTCCTGTACCTCAGTTGCTAGCAACACCAAGGTCATGGGTTTGATTCCCAGGGAACACGCATACTGAGGAAACATATACCTTGAATGCACTGCAAGTCACTTTGGATGAAAGAGCCTGGCAAATGCATAAATGCATAATAAATGCAGAAGTGTATTATACATTTATATGGAAGTCTGAAGATAGCAAACAGGAAGTTCAAAAGCTTAAAGGCAAATTCTGTTGCTGTCTTGCGGTTTCTGTGCTGTTCATTCCTCAGATGTTGAGATAAGATGCACGCCACACCATCTATGTAGCACGCAATTATGTTATGTGTTGCCTGCAGTGTCTAATGTCTCCATAAACTATTTTTACCAAGTGAAAAATTCAAGCAAATGGGCTTCAGGATTAAAAAGGAAGGGTGTTCATGTTTTCAAAGGCCTCTCTTTATGGAATCAGTCGTGAGAAGGCAACCGATGAGCCGTGGAGAGGCGTCTAAATAGCATCCAAAAATATATATGGTAGTCTTGTGACTGTTTATAGGGCCTGTAAGGCAGTTAAAGTTGGTATGATAATGCTCCAACTGCCGCCTAACTGCTACAGTCCTAATGAGGGATAGGAGTCAACGCTGGCGGTATTTACTAGCACTGTCCTCTCTCACTCACTCTCGTTTCCCCTGAGAGGAATGATGCAGTCCATGAGAAACTAACCACACAAATCTGTCAAAGTTGGCTCACTCTTGCTCTGAGGACCAGCCGTTGTTTCCTTTCCAATCCAGATCCATCTCCAGCACATGTCAACAGCCGCATCTCCTATTCACACAATGAGAAAATATCTAAAAAATATATAGTTTTCCCGTAACTCATTTTTATTTTTTCAAGTCACACTTCCATTAAACCCATCGCCAGTAGTGATTTTTTTTTCCTTGAAATACTAGCGGAGAATATTTGTTTAATATGCTCCAGTCGGGTGCTGGATTTCACTGGGTTTCTTCAGTTGTGGTTTGAGCAAGATGCGGTCCGTCCCTCGTGTGTTTTCCCATTTTCCTCAGCAGGTTTTTGACCTCAGATCTTACTGCTGTGCGTATCCTGGTAGCAGCTCTTACAAAGTCAAGGTTGATTTGGACATAAGAGGGACAGGATGTGATGTGATCCTTTGATGTTGGCTCTGAATCCCAGTTCGAATGTAAAAGCAGGTATCGAAATTAGCAACATGGTGTCATGAGACCCAGCTGAGGGCTTTAACAATAAGCAGCTTAAGCGTTTAGGTTCCTGTCTGTTGGAATGACTGCTCTGCCACAGCCCCCAGCCAACCATTGTCATATTTTCCTCTCTGGGAGCCATACAAACCACAGAGCTAAAGCAGAGAGAGAGACGTTAGACTTAGGGAAACCCTAATAAGTCAGTAAACTCTTCCATTGCGTCCACCCTGCTGCCCAAACTCAGTAACGTCAGGGAGTTAGAAGCCAGACGTGCAGATTTGGAGGGCTGTCAGGAGGGTCTGGTGTACTTTACCCTTTAAATGTCCAGACGCATTGGGTTTTAGAACAAACCTCACAAGTGCCTTAGCCAGGTGGAAATTGATGCTGATTCAACATGGTGGCTGTGTAGCTTTCGTCTGATTGTAGAAGTCAGACCGAGTGTAGACTGGGAGGAGGGCCGCGAGGGCTAAGGGTGCCATTTGGGAATTAGTGCGGAGTGAAGTCATGACCACAAAATGACAAATGGGACATTGTGTGGTCTTGTGGACACCAGGACCTGAGATCCAATTTGAAGAATAAGTTCCTTTTTAAAACTTTTCACTATCTATCTATCTATCTATCTATCTATCTATCTATCTATCTATCTATCTATCTATCTATCTATCTATCTATCTATCATCAATTTTAGAACAAACCTCACAAGTGCCTTAGCCAGGTGGAAATTGATGCTGATTCAACATGGTGGCTGTGTAGCTTTCGTCTGATTGTAGAAGTCAGACCGAGTGTAGACTGGGAGGAGGGCCGCGAGGGCTAAGGGTGCCATTTGGGAATTAGTGCGGAGTGAAGTCATGACCACAAAATGACAAATGGGACATTGTGTGGTCTTGTGGACACCAGGACCTGAGATCCAAATAAGTTAATAAGTTCCTTTTTAAAACTTTTCACTATCTATCTATCTATCTATCTATCTATCTATCTATCTATCTATCTATCTATCTATCATCAATTTGTCTGTCTGTCTGTCTTTTTGTCAGTCTATCTATCAGTCTGTCTGTCTGTCTGTGAGAACATGAGAA